GGGAGCCTCGAGCTGTTTGGGTCCGGCAGCGTAAGGACATCCCAGGCGCGTCCTCGTCCTCTCGTCACCCGTCACACTTCCTTTCCCGAATGTTTTTTGTGCACTCCATGGATTCTTCTGGGGCTGGGTAAGGGTTAAACGTGTGACCGAGATGCGGCACGCGTTTAAAACATTTGCTTTCTTCACGTAGCTGCTGCGAGCAGCGAGGGGCCGTGCGAGCGGATCGGAGGGTTCGGGTCCCTTTGCCCGGGCTCGGAGGACGCAGTTTATCGCAGGTTCAGGTTTTATCGGGGGCCAAGCGGGTGGCCCTGCAGTGCTGCCCGGTTATGGGAGAGGGGAATACCTTATTTCACCCTTCGGTTTGCTTCATTTCCAGTGTAAAGCAGAAGTACTGTATATAATTTACCGATACCTGTTTTAACTTCCTAACGAGACAGGAGGTCTCCTTAACTTGTTCCAGCTGTGGATATTGCCTTTCTTCTTGTTTCGGAAGCCTTCACTATATTGGTTGCTTAATCTGCCGTCGTGTGGCTTTTGGTTGCTATTGCTAGAAACGAGCCCCGGGTTCTGCTGCGGCGTGTGGCTGCTGTGGTCCGCGGGGGTTTCGCTCGAACCGTGCTCGCTTTCAGAGCGCCAACCTCTGTTTGCCGCCAGACGTGAGGAGGTCGCGGGGTTTGCGTCCTTGCTGTGTTTTCGTAACGCAAAAATGGACGGAAAACGTTCTTAGCAGACGCAGGCTCCCTCAGGACCAATTTCGCTGCCTTTGCGGTTTCTGCAAACGAAACGGAAAGGCCTAACTGGTACGAAGTGATTTCATACGAGAAGCGACACCTTTCTTTTCCGCAGTTTTATGTGGGAATTAGAACCTGGCTGAAATTGCGCAGACCCAAATTTTTCACCGAAGTCTCTAAAAGAAGCGTTCAGGTGTGCAGGCACAACTCGGGCGGGGAGGGCAGCCGCAGCTTTGGGGGCGGTTGCACAGTGACTTCCAGGACGGGGCCAGGCAAACGCCGTCAGACGCGGGGTGCTGAGCACCCAGCC